ATATATATATATATATATATATATATATATATATATATATATATATATATGCTTTTTTCTTAAATTTAGCTCAAATTTAGCAGTGCATCAAGCACACTTTGCTTTTGAATCCTTTTGGATAAATGTATGTGCATCTGCACCGCTCATGTTCCGCTGTATGCTACATGCTATTATATCGTAAAAATATAAAAATATAAAAACCATCTCGACCGAGCAATTGTTGCATTGCAAGGAAGACAGATCGTGTCACCTCACTGTATCGATGATATTCTATCTCACGGTACGGATGCGTGCGTACGCACGCACAGGCTCTCCACACTGTACCCGACACGGCTATAGTCTGTCCTCTTTCCTCTTTTCTATTTTTCTTTCCATCTACCTCTCCTTTTCTTTTTTGACACACACATATATATATATATATATATATATATATTATTCGTTGGTATACAATTATTGCCGTATCGCATACGGGATTTGCTTCTCGGCTCTTCTCTCTCGGGGCTCGGCGGAAGCCACGTACCGTGGTTACAAAGGGGAAAGTTACGCTAACACGTTGACTAACTCACGCCTAACAAACTAATCCGTGATACTATTTGATGTATTTACGTTTACGTTATCTCCCAGCCTTATTAAATCTGACGTAAGTCTTTCTTCGAAGTCGTCCAATAAAAATTGGATATAGTGCAAGAATTAACCATTAATGTAAAGTCACTTCGATATTCTTTTATATAAAATATTTTACATTACATTTTGAAGCTCGAGTTGAAATAAACGTTTGAGATTTCTATATTTGATATATTGTACATGATATACTTGATACATTTTATTTATAAATAAAATTAAAAAATGTTAATTTTTCAGAAATATTAGTTCCAATCAAAATATAAATATAATTATAATATTATTAATTGTTTATAGTAGTTTTTTAAAGATCAATTACCAGGTCAATTAGAGCGTGAAAAAAATAAGCATTCTATTCACATAAATATATTATTTAACTTTCCTATAATTTGCAATATGATAAAATTAATGAAAAATTTGATATTGATGGTATCTTAAAATAAAGCATTACTATTTCTTTCTTGTATAACTATATCTAATTATTCGAAGAAATTCAGATTTTCGTCAGAATGGGATGTTTCAATAGTATTATTTGTTTCTATAAATTAGTGTGGTGTTTAAACATGGAATTGATGGATCATAATATATTTAAATAATTTTTTAAATTATATATTTATGCATGCACATTATAAGTTTTTTATAATATTTTATAAAGTATTTTATTGATTTAATGGGATACAGATTTTCATATTTGAATTGGTCTAATAAATGGTCGATATATTTTCATAAATAAAATAATTAATTTTTTGTACATACTTTACTCTTTGCTTATATAGCTTCAGTCTCTTTTTAAGTTTTTATTCGATTATTTTTTCTCATATATTTAATTTCCAAATACATATTTTTAGAATTTCAATTTTTAGATCAGAACTTTTGGATTCTTTAAGTTTTTTTATTAAATGGCTCAAAAAATGGCTATTTCATTTAACTCGTTTAGAAATTAAATTTTAATTAGAATTTGATTCCCACATAATTCAAATAAAGAATACCTAATTATTCAATTTTAATTGTTACAATTAATATGTCTTTGTATTATATATAATACCTATTATTTTATGTGAACCATCAATTTCATCGTTTGAAGTCCTCTGTTTGTGTGTTTGAGCTTTTTTATGTTCGATATTTAAATCCGAATAACAAATCGTAAAATTTAAATTTAATTTGTTTTATCTTTGAATCTTATGTTAGTATTGTATAAACTTGATTAATTGATAGATTTTAATAAAAATTGAATTTTTAGGGGTGAATTTTCGCGGGGTTCGAATGCCATTCTTGAGCCGCGAGTTATCGCCAAAGCACCCGAAGGAGAGGGATGTCCTCGTTGTGGAGGATATGTTTATGCCGCCGAGCAGATGTTAGCCCGAGGAAGGGTAAGTACATTCAAAGGATAGGCGCGCATTTAACACTAAATGCGACAAGAATAGGGACATTAGCGAATAATCGCTTAAGAAATTCTATTAAAGCAGAAATATTAATATCAAAATTAAACTAAATGTTAACGATATCTCACAACAATCATATGGCTGCATTTGGCGTTAAATGCACAATGATACATGTTGCGTCACCTTGGTGCTTCGACCGATCGTTCGCTTGCGCATTTTAGAGATTGAAGCAGAGCCAATGTGGTATCTTAGTCAATCATTAACTAAGTATATAGTTCTTGATTAATTAATCTTTCAGATATGTTTGAAGCAGACTATTAATCTTTCACCCATGGAAACAGTTTATAGAAAGTGTGCGAGTTGCTGAATACGGTGTAGTTTTACAGAATGCAAATATATTTCAAATAATAAGATTAATTTTTAATTTAGGAATCAAAACAAGAGGCAGGAGAGTTTGGATTCTTTAATAGTTCCCTTTGATTCGTCAACTGATCTTGCATTTGCTTTTAGATTGACGGGTGATAGTCGAAAATAATCTTCATATATTCCTCGAGTTGCGACCTTATTCTAGGTGTGATACCTGTGGGTGGGCTAGCCTCGACTGTGGATATTTCGAGGGGTGAGAGAGCGGCTCGCGGGATTGCGGTGCGATTTAGCACGCGAAGCAATAAAATCGGTCGCTGACGCGGCGACAGATAGATTGACGCAATCGGCGTTCTCTTCGTCGCGCTTACTCACGCGTATTTCGGAAAATCTGGACGGAACCGCGTCGCGGTAAAAATGCGCGGCGGGTTACAAACAGCTGTGGCGGAGCGGCGCGGCGCGGCTTTTGCCGCGCGTCTAAATTCGGCACGCGGCGCGTGGTAATGGACCGCGTTACGTGTGTCCCCGTAATCTTATCCTATCTCCATTTCATAACAATGTGAGGAAAAAAATAGCGGCGGGAGAAGAAGAAGCGGGGGAGGTGAGAGGAGGAGGATTCGTTCTGGACCGGGGGTGCTAGCCTAGAAACTTTCTCGGTGATTTCGTCAGAGAATGATTTTGGCGATGTACCAACTGGCCGGCCAATCTTAGCCGGTCCGATACCCGGCGATAAAATGGCTCGCTACCAAAAGGAGCGCCGCTCAGAACCAGAGAAATGGAAACTAATTGCTGGCCGACAATCTGGTCCAGCGATAATCCGTGCGCGAAAACGGCGATGGCAATCTGTCTTTCTCGTCATCCGTGACTCATTGGCGTATCATTCGATGTCGCTTCTTTGCTTCGAGAATTCGATTACGCAATTCTTGCTCGCTTCTTCTCGAGCGAGAAATCGTATCGTTCCTTTGTATAGACACTTGTGAAACTCTACTTCGTTCAGTTTTTTAGATCTTAAATTGTATTAATGCAAATACATTTTTTAAATTCCAAATCTCTAATCTTCAATATATTCGCTGTTATAATATGAAGGAACATGATGAATTTCCTTCTGTTCGATAATTAAAATTTGGAAATTGAAATAGGACATCTGACGATTCGTCGCGGCACCAAGATTAACACCGATTAACATCAGACTCGGATTTTTATTTTAGTCAATCCTCGTTCTTATGATTAGGCTTACCATAAACTGTGCTTCAAGTGCAAATTATGTCGCCGCACTCTGGATTCGACACTTCATTGCGACGGTCCCGACCGCGAGATATACTGTCGAGGTATCTTTCGTCTAAAGAATCTGCAATTCCCTTTATGGATCCGCCAGTCCTTAATTGTTTTTCGAATTACTTGCACAGATGTCCGTACTGACAACCCTATACGTTCTGAAACGTTGAACGATTATTATTATCTCCTAAACGTATTTATCAATCTGCATTCATCTCCGTCCGTTTTTCCATTTTGACTCGTTTAGTCTTGCTGTCACCTACTAAAATCAGTTTGTAAACTCTTTCCGCGCCGCCAGGAAACAGCCCCCGAACGTACAAGGGTTGCAAAGTACTGCAGAGGAAAGATCGTTATATTGTCGATTACTCTATCACTCTTTTCTCTCATCACCTTTGTTATCTAGGTGCGCAAATATCTGTTTATTTGTACTGTGCAAATTTAGACTGCTAGAGATCAGCGTATTTCAGAATTATCGCTACAGAAAGTCATAAATACTAGAGATTAAATTACGGAAAATATTGTTAATGAAAATATCATTCGTTTTAATATCAAACTATTACTGAACGATCTTTAAGTAAAAAGATTGAAATTTTCAGAAAAGCATCTTCAAATCTTAAATAAATTAAATAAGATTAGATTATAAATGAATATAATATATAAGATTTCATCAATAAAATTTTAATATAAGGATTATTATTATGATATTATATATCATTTTTATTATATATCATTTTTATTAATAATATTAAAAAGTAGTGGAAAGAAATGAAAAATCCTACAACAAATATTGAATTTTTAATTTTTAACGTTTAACAATTTTATAATAAAAATGTTAAATGAGTAATTCAGTTATATCAATAATAATAATAGAACAAATCTTATAAAAAAATCATAATCTTTTTAAAACTATTACAAGGATAATTTAAAAAAAATTTTAATGTAACGTTTTCAATAAGTGGTTTGTAGAATTTTCTAAGCGTAATTGAAATGGCAAATATTAAAATAGTTTAAATCAGGAGATAAAGATTTAGACAGTAGCATTATTTGTTGCTACTGTTGTGAATTTTGGAACGAATCTTGGCGGGCTCCAAGGAGCTTTTAATGTCTGTGCTCCTGAACAATTGTACAAGAAAAGAATATTGTACAATAATACTTGTATCTCTCCTTGAAACTTTCAGTGACTAACCCATCCTTTGTGTTTTTGTGCAGCAATGGCACAAGGAATGCTTTAAATGTGCCAACTGTACGAAAAGATTAGACTCCGTCAACTGCTGCGAAGGTCCTGATAAGGACATTTATTGCAAAGGTGAGGACATGGTACAATCGTTCGCATGAAGATGTAATATACAAGATATGCAAAATGCGATATTAAAATTAATTTCCTTTACAATTTTACACATATATAAATATTTTTTGTACAGTGAGTTGCACATATATTTACAAAAGTATTCATTTTTATATATTTTGAGATTAGGAAAATTTTAAAGTTGTCGTTTTAAAAAGTAAAATAATATTTTTTACTTTCAGTCCTCGTATTTTGAAGAAATTAGTTAAGTTTCTAAATATAATTGAGAAAAAAATATACAAATTAAAAAAAATATTCTTTTAGTTATGTTAAAGTGGCATTAACATATTATAAATATGATTTTACCTCTCTTGCTAAAAAATATTATTCAAAAATTTTAGAATGTATATAACAATTAAAATCCTAATATTTTACACTATACTTAGTATAAAGATCTATTTTAATAAAATATTTATAATAATATAGAACAATCTGACAAATAAAAAATAGCATGGGCGTATCGGTACGATTATATCTTTATCGCTGACAATCATCATGAGATAACGTTAGGTGACGTGAAACCTTTAATCGATATTGTCTGCAGTATGCTATGGAAAGAAATTCGGACCGAAGGGTTATGGCTATGGCCAGGGTGGCGGCGCCTTACAGAGTGACTGCTACGCCAATGGGTGGGTTTTCAGAGTCGGGACTGAGATGGGAAGCACGCGAGAGAGAGAAATCCCGCCTCGGCTTCTACACTTTCACTATATATGATGCGCTTGTCTGCTTAACAGCTTGCTATCCGAAGAAATTCGGTCCGCGGGGTGTCGGCCATGCCGGGATTATGTGGATCGGGCTGCAGTGCGATATTGAGGACGAGGGGTACGCGCCCCTTTAGTTGTGACGATTATTTTGCGCGCGTAAACAGGGTGCCTGGAGAAAGAAAGAAATTGCGCGAATAGCGGCAGTTTTATCTTCGAGTAATCTGCCATCGATTTTTTCTTAGCAAAAAATGTATTATCGTTATTTTACTTTTGCATGTTGCCCTAGAGTAATTAATTTATACTATTTTTTTGAATATTTACAACATTTAAGATTAAAATAATGAAT